CTGCCATTGGCGATTGCCAAATAAACGGATCACAAGGTGTAATAATAGGATCTTAACTATAAATTTAATACCAAACAGAAAACAACAAACTTGCGGAAAATATGGTATACCGCAAACAAAGGTGCAAAGATTTTTGTACACCATATCCGGATTTCGACAATTAATGTCTCTTCAGTGATGTTAGGAATCGAAACGGTTATTGGAAGGCCACATAATTTACCTCAATTTAGGATAGACTCTTGAATTTTGAGGAGTCAAAATAGGATGAACGGATCATATAAACCCGAAGGCAAATATAATACAAGCCCAAACGAAAAAATATAAACAAGTCTAAATTAAAAACAACGTTCAAACCTATGATTGCGTTGGATAAAAACCGCAATGTTTATACGTGTACATGCAAAACAAATTTCTTGTTAGAGGGGTCTAAATACAGCACAAACAACATTTTCCAAAAGACCAAAAGAGGTGAAAAAGTATATTTTAACAAAACGCATTTGACTAACAGGTCGAACAACAAATGTTCTTAAACCCTGCTGACTACCATATATATATATATATATATTATATATATATACACGTCTAAACAAGTGACAACTCTACGACAGATCCATCCATTGGATCACCAGTGAAGGTGATACACGGCTGAAAACACATATTATGTTCATAATTACTCTAAATATCAGCATATCTGTGACTGTATCTTACGATCCTTTACGATAGATATTTAGCTAATCTGCAATCAATTCCATCTTTATGCCTAATATATCATGTACTGTGTTACACCTCTAGATTCTACTGACGAGGAAATATAACACTAAGCCACCGAAAACTGAATTGTTAGTTCAGTCTAGGTGGCCGTGTGGTCTAGAGCGCTGAACACAGTGCAGGCGGTGTTGTATCGATATCCCAATAGCATGAGTTCGAATCCCGGCGAGGGAAGAACAAAAATTTGCTTCTGCAGATTTAACATTGTTGTGCTTATAGAATGAATTTCATAACAGCGTGGACATGGACACATAGTTATTAAATGTTATCGTGTGTATCACTGGCTGTCTACAACAAAGACTTCACGCAATTACAGCATGTCAGGGGCCTCTCAATGGGGATATACATAATTACTATCTTTACACATGTCCGTTCATAAAATAGAAGTTTTGGCATGAAAGTTTATAGGAATTTGTTTTGAATATATTTATATACTCACAACAAAAAGTTTCTTTTGACAGAATGAGTATATTCAGAGGTGATATCACCAAGTTATCGAAAAAAAACGTAATGTTTTTTATTGCACAAACGTTCTGTGGCTCCTTAAAAAATTAAGAAAACATTTATTCGTACCAGTTGATGTAGAGTAATCTTCGCAGATGTCTATTGTCCATTTAAATCAATACTACTCACAACATTTATTATATACGAGGGGAGCTTCTCAAACCTCTTTCCCAACTTAGTTTATTTTGGCACCTTCTACATGAATGAAAAAAAAATGAACAGCAAAATCCAGAAAAGTTTATAATTTTCTGAAACATAAAATGCATTTAAAATTTAATTATCTAGTTCCTGCCATGCCCTAAAACTTTTCCAGGTGCAGAGGTATGTCTGTACTCAGAGTAAAATTTGTGGTGTAAATACGGCCATATTAACCAAAAGGTTATGATGAACCTGAACAGATCGGACACATTTCCTTATACGGACATGTATTATTAGCATACTTATGCCCCCGTCAATGCATGTATTAGTGTTTGTTTACAAATAAAGCTTTTTTTCGGCGATTGACCAATCCACTGAATGATTTGCAATGCATGACTTGCCTAAAACAGACACACTACTTAATTTTTCACTTATTGCCAGAAACGAATTTTTCTTACTTTTTTTCTCTTGATTACTTTGTTATATCACCTCTGAATATACTCATTCTTTCAAAAGAAACTTGTTGCTGTCAGTATATAAATATATTCAAAACAAACTATTTTTATGAATGGAAATGTGTAAAATAGTAATTATGTATATCCCCATTGAGAGGCCCCTGACATACTGTAATTGCGTGAAGTCTTTGTTGTCGACAGCCAGTGACCGACACGATATCATTGAAATATCAGGTGTCCATGTCCACACTGTTATGAAATTCATTCTATATATATATATATTTATATATAATCATATGAAACCCCACACTATCAACAACAGGTACAACCTGGAAATGGTACAACGAGGGCGGCGAGGTTTGTTATTGGTGACTACAATCGTACCATCACTATAATACACCTTTTACAACAACCACAAAGCCCAACACTGCAAGAGCGCCGAAATATGAACCAGGTCACGGGTGGTCTTTCGCCTCGAGTGCGGGGGGTCTTGGGTTCAAATCCCGGCCGGGTCAAACCAAAGACTTTAGAATTGGTATTTGCTGCTACTCCGTTCAGCACGCGGCATAAAGGAGTAAGAGCAAAGACTGGTCGGCTCGGAGTCATAATAATGTGTCCGGGTAAGGTGACATGTTTTCCTGCGGACTGTTACCTTGTGAACAAGCACGTTACAAATCCGGCTCAGCATGTCAGTCTAGTACAAAGCAGGGTTAATATTGATATTACATTAACCTGTTCTCGTCCTGAATATGAATATTAATTTGCCGCTGGACGTTAAGCAGCCATCCATCATCACCATCTTATGCATATTGAAGATCTAAAGTATTTTTGCACCTTCCGATATCGTCTGTTTTGAAGAAATTTTCTTTAATTTAAAAGTGTATACCCTTAGTTCCATACGGCACTTTAATTTTAGTATAAACAAGTATATACGATGCTAAAAAATCTAAAATAATGCATCTGTATTAAACCTTTAAAGACATAGAAACAGATTTTAACAATCAAAATATACCGAATTGACAATGTTTACCTTCTCCAATACGGAGTTAAATTTCTTTTGTTTTATTTGAACTTATCACGCTGAAAATTTCATAGTCCTACAGGCATTTTCTGAAGAAAGGATGGGTTAAACCTGATTTTATAGCTAGATAAACCTCCCGCTTGTATCACAGTTGTTTATAATTCCGTTATATTGACAAAATTGTAAAATTAGTTGAGCAACCCAACCAGAAATAATTTGTTAACGTGACAATAATTATTATGCATTAGCTTTCCAAAATGCTTGTCTGACTTTATCATTTTTAAACATGCACGAGCAGAATGCGTCACTAGCCGTAAGTGAAAGTTATAGATTAAAGACTTCAGTTAATGTGGTTTTAAATAGTGTTTTATGCGGGGACTGTTTATTGCTACGATAATTTTAATTAGAATACGGAATAATGGTAATTATATCGTTGTGAGACTATGAAATTTGTTTTGATGAAGACGTTCTTTCAGTTCGTTATTTCTCGCTGTGTTGAAGACCCATTGGTGGCCTTGGGCTGTTTTCTGCTCTTTGGTCGGGTTGTTGTCTCTTTGACACATTCCCCATTTCCATTCTCAATTTTAGTGCCTCCATGTAAACGTATAACACCAGACTGATTCTTCATATTTAGTTTAACCGTTTAATATACATGTGTGTCATCATAATGTTGTGTACTTCATTTTACGTTATCGTACTGCATCTGTTTACCCTCAACTATTGTATTTGTATTTATATTGTACTTTCTCTGTAAACTTGTATTTATTTTTTTGAGAATAAAGTGTCTATCTATCTATCTATCTATCTATCTAGTTTCCAAATATAACCCTTTAACCTATGTAGAAAATTTTACTATATGTATGAGTTAGTTATGGATGATTATATAAAAAATACTTAAATGGACCTATTGCATAACCAGAACACAAACTTATTGGAACCAAATCTATACCGAAATGATAAAATGTAGGAAAAAAAACGAAAGTGATTTATTTAGAAATTATCTGTGTTTCCATGATTTCTATGATACACATCACATGCCCCCCCCCCCCCCCCCAAAAAAATGAAATAATATAAAATTGTTAACTCGAAAGTGTAAACATTTATCTTTTCTGCTATTAAATGGTACAACAATATACATATTTCGAAGTACATGAAAATTAGTTAATAATATTAATTCCAAGATCATCCAATACGGTTTATAATTTTGCTCTGACAATATCATGTGCATACGCTTTCTTAAATTCTGTTAAAGCTGTAAATGTTGACAATTTCTCAATTTTGGTTTCAATAATTTAAACACTGTCAATTATTATACTTCCAACTTTATGCAGGCCATTTTGTTCGCCTTGAAATGTCTTTCTTTGTTCTAATCAAATTTACTCTGGAGCTTCTTTTTTTTAGGAAGTGTGTGCAAATTTTCAACATGTTTGCGTTATTATGTCCAACACATAATATTATTTTATAAGACAACCTTGAATTATATTTCAACCTTTGTTATGATTCTACTTCCATAATTTTGCAATCTGAAACCATTAAGGAATAATTGTAAAATTGGAAACGGGGAATGTGTCAAAGTGACAACAACCCGACCAAATAGCAGAAAACAGCCAAAGACCACCAATAAGTCTTCAACACAGCGAGAAATCCCGCACCTTGAGGCGGGCTTCAGCTGGCCCCTAAACATAAATGTGTACTAATTCAGCAAAAAATGGACGTCACACTAAACTCCGAAACATATAAATGAACCGAAATTAAAAAAAACATACAAGACTAACAATGGCCAGAGGTTCCTGACTGGGGGCAGGCGCAAAAATGCGGTGTGGTTAAACATGTTTTGTGAGATCTCAATCCTCCCCCTATACCCTTAACCAATGTTGTAAAAAACAAACACACAGCAACATAAAAAGTGACAACAGACAATGTGGAAATCTCTAGGTACTGATCGTTTCCTCATCCTATTAATACTTTCTTATTATCATTAAATATTAGACAGAGATAGAGAAAATATTCTAAGTAATATATTTACAAAGGGAATAATATAATCTCAATCAGGGTGATTGATTGTCACAGTATAAGTATTCATTTTTACAAATTTTCATAGTTTCTGGAATCCAATGGTAGATTTAGTGGTAAGTTGCCAACATTAATTATTCAAATTTATATTTTAAGTCAGTATAATGATGGCAAACGATTCTTCTTTTATTGACAAAATATATAAACAGGATAAAACTAAATGCTTTAATCATACATTCTTAGAGCCACAAAGGTTCAAACTGTTTCAAATTGAGGTAGGTTTTGCACCTTCCCCGACTCTTGCTATCGGTAAACATTGATTTTATTTTGAAAATGTGCATAACAAGTCTGTGATTAGTCAAGTTTGACGTTAAATCTTTATAAATTTCAGCTTCCTCTTTCTCTCTATCTAACATACAATTGAAACATGATACACATAGATCATATAATCACATTTGAATGTCATTTAATTTTGATAAATGAAGACAGTCCCAGATCGTCGCTTATGATATTTGTATAAGCTTTCACATGTGTCAACAGAAGTACTGCCATGTGATTGCTACCAAATGTGACCTTACCACACCGTAACGTGACCATTATCTATGTATTGTATAACAGTTCCATGATATAAATATTGTCTGATATAACTTACACATTGTTCACTAGATTAACGGTATAATACAACATGAAGGTTCTGGCGTTTTTATCGCTATGTATTTGCACTGTATATGGTGCAAATATAATACAGAAAGCTACCAGTCTGGGAGCCAACACACTGGTTGATTTGATCCATAAGGCTGGACTAACAAGCACACTTGCAAATGGAGGTATGAATTAATCAGGCTTTTTACGGTTATTTTTTGTCAAGGTAAGTACTAAGTTAATAACGAAAACATTTGATCACTGGTAAAAAGGTTGCTCTTGTTTCAATGCTCTTCAACTTCATGTCCTACTGTCATAATTCGAGCGCCATTGACAAATGTGTAAACGAAATGCGCGTTTGGCGGACAAAATTATAAGCCTGCATGGTATCTTAAATGACTGTTTTCTAGTCCTTTCCTGTTATACACTGAAACGTAAGGTATAAAAGAATTGTGACATATCAGCCTCATATTTATTTACCGACGATTGTCTAAACCAAAAAGTCTTATAATCTTTATCTTTCAAACTTCACAATTAAAATTTGTTCTAAGATATAGAATATAAAATATATTACAAAATAAAGGCGAACAAGAAAAAACGTAACAAAAGAAATTATAATGGTTTTTATCACCGAGCCTTTGTAACTAGAATATAATTTTTGGAATGGGTCCTAATATTTTTTTTTTCAATTTAAGTCATGATATATAATGATGTATACGTCTTCCTTCACTTAAAAATGTATGCAAACAAGTTCATTTCTATATTCTATATTTCTTTTTTTTGTAAACATCTACACCTTTCTTATGAGGTTGAATATGGCCTCCCCCGGTAATGTTTAGTCTTTCACTACCTTAAATAATAATCAAATATACCTTTGTGTGTTTTAGGTCCTTTTACAGTATTTGCACCATCCGACCAAGCATTCGCTGCTGTGCCACAAGAAATTCTTCAGAAACTTCAGTCAGATAAAGCGCTTTTACAAAAAGTCTTGAAATACCATGTAGTATCAGGAATGCATTACGCCGATGAGGCAAACAATGAGTTGATTGTTCCATCACTGGTGCCCGGTCTTAATATTCGAGTTAATATTTACCAAGGAGGACAGGCAAGTTGTTTTATACAGCAATGTTTTTTTTCTTTTAAAGGGATAGAGTTATTTGGCCGGCTTGTAAGATCTTATGACTGTTTGAATGAAATATTGTTTGAACATAGATTTCTAACATTGGCTGTTTTAAATATAATATATGCACTACTAACAACCATGATTGAGCAAATGTAAGTTAAATAACCCTATACCATTCCGACTTACCATTGATCTTGTATGTAGACAAGGAACTAAAAGAAGAAAACATTGGATTGAAAAATAAGCAACACTTGTAAAAATCCTTTTATTCAAACGTACGTGTCTATATAGATATTTCAGATGTTGAATGATTTGTAAAATCAATACTATCTTATAAATTACCACAGATTGCCACAGTAGAAGGTAGTAAAGTCATACTCACAAACCAGAACGCCAGTAACGGGGTCATTCATGTTCTCGATCGTGTCATGTATCCATTACCAGACAATACACTCCTTCAGTATGTTGCCTCACAGCCAAACCTTTCACAGTTAGTTTATTCTGTTATCCGAGCAGACTTACAAGCAGAGCTCGCAGGTTCGTGTGTTCACCATTTACATGAATTCTTAACTATAAAAAAATGTCAAGGAACAGTAAATGGACTATGTCACAGATTTTGGTAATATTTTGCATACAACTTTGGCTCGTTGAACTATAACTGGAAATCGAAAAAAATAATGCATTTATCTCTTTTGTTTTCTTAAATATCACTGATTGAATTCTTTCAAGATAGGTGAACATTTGTTATAAAATTTGTCTTAAAATCATCAAATCTTCAATTTCAAATACATAGATTTTTTCCTAAAAAATTATATGTTGTTGATACATAAATTTCCGTTCTAATGGTTTAAAAAATGATATGGTCACCGACTTCGTTTTTGGTCTATTAAATAATCTGTTACCTAATTGGTAGTAAAAATCGTCAAAAATCGACGTTTTACGCGACGACGTTCCGCTTATTTTGACGTTTTGTGGTATTTTTTCACCAATAACACAACTTTAAATGATGTATACCGTAAAAACGAAGTCGGTGACCCTATTTTTATTTTAACTTCTGAAAAAAATGAATAATGATAGTTTCGGCTCAACATCAGGTTTTCCTATCAAATATGTTTTTATTTATAAAGAAAATTGATTTTGTCATCATACTATTCGATTAAAATTTCGTGATACCAAGAATAAGTCCCTTTTTAGAGCTGAGCTTTAGTCTATTTTAACTTTGTAGGAGGACCATTTACTTTATTTGCACCAGTAGACAGCGCTTTCGACAAATTACCACCAGGATTTCTAAGTGACAATTTCTTAACTCTTCACGATTCAAGGCGTAAGTGTTAATATGTTATATATAATCTATTTAAAATCTAAATGAGTAGAAGAAAATTGACTTGAAAAGCAGTTTTTGATCGGTTTGGAAGCTGTTGTACAGAAAATTCAAATATTCTTTAAAACATTCTAAAGAGTGTGTTTGTTTGCATCAGCCTTTATCACTTAACACATATATATTATAAAATAAAAAAATAAAACGTGAGCTTTAAATGTTACGTAACAAGAAATGTAATCGGAAGTTACATTCAAATGGTTGAATTGAGTTCCAATCGATAAATTATTCACACCCTGTATAGTTAGCTATGTTTGATTGCAAATGACTTATTGCAGGATTGATGCGCTACCATTATGTAAAGGGAACATTTTACAGTTCAGGATTAAAAGACGGTATGATGGTTCCAACTGCAGAAGGCGAAAATCTTAGAATACGTATTATTAATGGTAAGTAGTTTATCATATGCTAGTTTAATTTAGATTAAAAATAACGAATCAAACTTCGTGGGCTATTCACTTGAAGACTCGTATTTCTGTCCCGTCACGAAGAAAAAAGAACTAAAAATTGTGGAAATCTGTCATCAATAAGAAAAAACCCGTCATTTTCACCAATAACCAGACGAAGCAGTCAAGCCGTTATATTTTCCTAACAACTTTCACATGTAATGATAAGATATGTGACATTAAAAGATATCTTGGTTTGTTGAAAAAAGTGAAATTATAGCAACTAATGTTACTTGTCTAAAAACAAACTGACGGTGCAGATCAAGTATATGTTAACCTTGACTGAAACATGTTATATGTTATTTTTTATTTCTAATATAAGTATCCATCATAAGTTAACATGGTATTCTAGTATAAAAAAATAGCAAAAGAATCGGCTACGTTAGCGTTTACAGTCATGCGAAAATAGCATGCATAATTTAAGGTTTTGCCGTTTGATCTAATAACAGCGGGCTACACTTCAAAAAAATAAGTTATAAGCACCAATCATAAGAATTGAAGATGCAATAACAAGATAAAATCCATCACATATTTCATAATGTCTATGTAGGATCAGTAAGACTGTAGTTTGGTTTATATTTCAGGGCATGTCATGGTGGATAATGCAAGAGTAATAAACCCAGACATCAATGTTGCAAACGGCGTCATTCATATTATCGATACCTTTTTACAGCCATCCAATCAAACAACATCTAGCCCAAATGTCATAGGTTAGAAAGATCAAATCTGAATCATTTATAAACATTATTGTTTGAACGGTTGTATGTTTTCTGGAGGATGTTTATTCCGCAAATGTAAAGACATAATTTCAGACTCAACTTTAAAGATATGATTACCAGCATTTCTGGAATCTTTCACTTTTAAACTGATCAGGAGATGTTTTATACATGTATATATGCGATTTTGTACCATGTACATTTACTCCATATCCTTTCATTTCTATAGTCATATGATTTTAACATACCCACAAGTTGTATACACTGTAATTTTAAATTACATGTATATCTGTGATTGCTTGTATATTGATGGTAGTCTCAATACACTTGATTGTGACTAGTATAGTGTTTTTAAAACATTGTAATTATTTACTATCATTTTATTAACATTGCTGCAAACATTTATAGTTTTGTGTGTATATCAAATGGTTATGATTTGATTTTACTGTTGCCAATCAATGCTATGACTTACCATTGCTGTATAATGTTTGAATTTTGTTATTATATATTCATAATAAATTCATAAAAATCTAATCTGGTTTTTTTTCTTAATCCAAGCTATTTTGTACATATGTTACATAAAAATCAATTCATTGAAAATATGTGTTGGCACAGAATACAAAATTGTCGCTTTTTGTTTTGATTCATCAGTGTGTTATTTATTTTTTAAAGATAATTTTCAACTCTTATCAAAACAAGTATAAGATGTAACCGCACGAAAAGACAATTCTTTAATGTTTTACTTGGATACATTTTTCTTGAAAGCTTCAACAATTACATTGAAAAACATACCATGCAAAACATCCTGAGGACCTATAGTTGCTTACATATATAAACGTCATGTTGGTTGGCCTTTCCTGGAAAGTTATCTTATTGGCAATCACACTGCATCTCCTCATTTTCATATAGTATCTGTTTTCCAGGACATCTATCGGTAGCATTCTAACCTAGCTGTCAGTGATTTCTAGCGTTATTTGATACTGTTTTTCTAGTAATGTTTCCTGTTTCATTCTGTTGTTATTGGCGAAGTTGTTGATTCAGTATTGTCTATAATTAATTATGTACATTTTGATAAATTTCAAGCTTATAAATATTGCAAACTTTACAAACTTCAGTTTGCACACCCACTACACCGTTGTGGTAAAATAACCCATTATGTTATATTTTCCATGTAATGAGAGACATTTTAACCCAACCTGGCTATTTATTATAAAAAAGTCATATAATTATACACGTCTTCCTATATCGTGACAGTAGTTTCATAACTTTTCGTTTTTTTGCCAAAACAAAGTTGTCAACCTCTAGGATATTCTTGCATAAGTTCATAGTTAATCCACGAGTTCACAGAGAAATTTTCATTTTAGTGGCGACAACGGACATTTCATAAAATAAAAGCAAAAACAAATCAGAAGTCTGTGATTAGTCAATTTGAAATTGATCATTAGATAAACATTCAATTTTGAAACTGAACATCAATGCCATTTTCCTTTACTTCAGTTGAAAAGATATACCCGACTTCAGTTTTCTAAAAGGCAACATTTTTCGTTCATGCGTTTATTTTTAGAAGTCAAAACTGAAATTAACTCGGAAAAATCTTCATTCTCACAGAAGTGATGTTTATGACTCCAGAAATATTGTGTCAAAATTTTGACGCATTTCAATCACTTTTTGTTATATGCAATAGAAAGTTTCACTCGAATGAAATAATAGGAGTTGGCGCGTTTCTTTTGTTGTTGAGTATAGATTACATTGCCAAATTAAGTTTATGGATGTTATTAACTCGATATAAAAACAAACAAGTGTGTATTTTTGAACTGCAATGTTATTTCAAGAAAAATCCACGGATAACATAAAACAGATATAATATATGTGCATTTGTATCTACTAATTATCTGCAACACATTGCATTTTCTGGCATCCTCATATGGTAGAAAAAGTTTAATTCATTCGTGATATAATAGCAAGGGCATTCGTCACTTAATGTTCGTGAAATCAGCTTAGTTACACTGCAAATGAGGGGTCATTCACACATAAGTTATAAATCTTCTTTCGTTAAGCCCTCATAAATATTTATGTTTCTCGATATCAGAGAAAGAAAATAATAATTTTATAATATTGTTGTAATTTAACTTTTTTTTATTACTTGTGGAATCCATTGGGAAAACAATTTATATACAAAATTCTGGGAGAAAATTCATCATACTTTTACAGGTATGTAAATATTACAAATATAATGCATGGAACGATTTACGTATCTTATCATACCCACTCCTTTCAGAACTTTATACGAAGGAAAAATCAATAATTATTTATGAATGCTTAAAACGTTAAAACGTTTAAACCCGCTGCATTTGTTTGCGCCTGTCCTAAGTCAGGAGCCTGTTGTTCAGTGGTTGTCGTTTGTTGGTGTGGTTCATAAGTGTTTCTCGTTCCTCGTTTTTTTTATATAGATTAGACCGTTGGTTTTCATATTTGAATTGTTTTTTACTAGTCATTTTGGGGCCCTTTATAGCTTGCTGTTTGGTGTGAGCCAAGGCTGCGTGTTGAAGGCCGTACGTTGACCCATAATTGTTTACTTTTTACACATTGTGACTTGGATGGAGAGTTGTCTCATTGGCACTCATACCACATCTTCTCACTTATAATTAGTTGCTCTTCTACTTAAGTTTTGTAAGATTTATTGGTATGAACATTTTCATAAGAATTTTATCTTTGTAGAACGAAACAAAAATCTAAAAAGGGCATCAGTTTGAAACTTTGTAATTGGTGCAATTCTTCAATTGGCTTTATAAAAATATATTTTATTTCGCTCATCCATAAATTCGTTCTTTGTGCATTGATAATTGCAAAATGAATCAGAGACATTTTTGTGTCGCAGATAAATACTGTCAGCACAACTAAATATTAAAAATATAGAAGATGTTTCAACATAGAAATATAGAAAGATGTAAATATGCTTAACTTTGATTTACTCCACGATTTTCTTTCACGGGATTGTAAAGATATTTTTGTGTAGAGTGAATGACAAAGTTTGTCTTTTACTAATGTTACACTATTTCACAGCTGCTAAATTTTAAAAATGTGCAAAATATTAGTTACAACTCTCTCTGAAAAAATTGACCTGCTATCGAATGGTTTTGGATATTGTTTTTTTATGTGGTTTACGAACATTAAACTAGAATTACAAAAAAAACTGTTATAATTCATCTGTCATTTACATAATATTGACTGTGTTTTCCGAGGTTACTAGAAAGGGTAAGGTACTTTGCATTAAAAGGGAATTTACAGAACGCAATTGCTGTACGAAGAGCATAGAGAGTATGATGTTTTTAATTATAAACGTGGAGTTATATAAAATATCGGATATGCCAAAGAATATAGAAAAGTCCAGTTAATTACACTGAATACAAAAACAAGCTATATTCGACTTATATGAACGACGTTCATCCAATTACACTATTAGAAAACAAACACGTCGTATGAAATAAATGTCATAAAAAAAGACAGAAAATACCAAAAGGTCAATACAAAAATCGTAAGAGATAAAAAAAAAAAGATGGAAAGCAAACATAGCCTAACACTACATAGAACACTAAAGACTGAGCAACAATAACCTCACAAAAAATAAAATCAAAACGGCAAGTGTGGTTTTCAAATAACAAAAGAAAGTCAAATTCATATGTCAAAGGACGTACATCACAACTGTTCTGCTCCTCTTGTGACATTCGTTGTGTTGATCATATTGCATCATGTTAGTTATAGTCAATGATTTTGATTCACACCAAAGCAAATTACTAGACGTCACTTTTGTAACCATAGGAAACAAATTGCAACCATCTAAGTCCTGAATATGAACCTACTCACTACTATAACACGCATTAAATCTGTCAAGAAGGCTAAAACTGTCACTTTTATGATTCAAGGACGTTGTTTAGTAATAAGAAGGAGAAATTGTAAAACAAATATGTACGATCTGTAATTGCTTATAGCACAATTAAAAACAAAATCTCAAAACAATTTGACTGAACCTGATACATAATAATCATTTGAGTGAGGTCATGTTGACTTTTAGGGCAAATATAGATCCATTAGAACAAAACTCAAACAAGAACTGTTACTTCTAAAACAATTATATAGAAATATCAGCTTTACGTAACTAAGAAATATCTACAGATAACGAACATGGAAAGAGTCGTTATCAGGTGCTGATTTCATACCAATGGCTAAAATTAGGCCGAATATAGTTAACTGGAAAGAAAACTAGGCATGAAAAAAGCAAATATGCAACATATTTGCAGAACTACATCAGTCATGGTATTTTTCAAGGGTTTTTCCTAAGGGTTGGCCGCCATTGTAATTGTTTTATGACTTCATAAGGAATCTGTTTTACTATTTCAATTTAAAACAGTGTCCAAATTCACCCAACCATCAACACAACAGAATTTTCTATTTTGGAGTGGCAAAAATCTTTGCTGGTACCCTGTATGTATGTATTGTATTATTATGTCATATTGTTATTCTGTATCATTATTATATATTTATATACTCCGGTTGTGCATTTAATGCAACTGCGAGATTTTACAAAAGATCGTAAAAGAAAGAATTCATCCCTGCACAAGTCTTTATGAAAATTCGCCCTTCAGACAATAAAAGTCTGTGTCCACACTTGTTAACTAGAAAGAAAATTATAAGTAGCTTGTAACTTTTCACACAGAAAAAAAACACCAAATATTTCACAAAGATTCAAAAATATGTAACTAATCATACTTTTAAAAACCTTGTCAATGTTGGTATCCTAAGGACCGTAACTAGACTACAAGGTTGGTCAATTGATTTTAAACATATATGTAATAATAAACAATCAGCTAAATTTGGCCATGATAGGGATAACTATTGAAATAACTGCTTAGTTTGTTTTATCGAATTATGTATTTAAGTAAGGGTTTCGGTCATTCTTAAAAACATATGACTTTATAAAGCACGATCCCAAGGAATACTTAATACATTATTTTTCTTTAGATTTACTACCTATTACTGGCTATCGGTACACACAGTAGGTATAGTGTCCGGCTGGGATCGTGTTTTTAGAGTTATTTGATCGTTTTTGTTTTAGTATGACCACGTTTTTTCGAGTGAATATGATCACAAATGTAAACAAACAGAATTCTTTTTTTGTAAGACGTGAAATAGATGCTTAAACTTAACATGCAAGATCATACAAGGTAAGTTAGTATTGGTGATAAAAGGAAATCATCACCCTTACATTATTTTGTGTTATAAAAGTTTAATTTAGCTTTACAATTCTTTTTTTTCCAAAATATAGAATAAAGCTATTAATATAAGTACCAATGCAGATGTCAAAGGAAATGTAAATTTGGAATCTATATATCCTAAGATATAAAGACACTTTATAAAAATTCTTGTTATTGCATTGAGAAGGACATTTTTAGAATAAATTCATTTTTATATGTCAGTGTTTTTTCGAGAGCAGTCCTGGCTTTTTGAGTGCGGTCCAAGTTTTGATCGAGTGATTAATAAAAAATTTCAATGATTTAAAATGTTATATGTCAATGCGATAACGTTTAAAAAACAATTAAAAGGTTCAACTAAAGTACTTTTTAAAGCACGAAACCAATGCATTTAACCAGTTTGATAATACTATAGTACGTAACACGTACATTCGTAAAAAGCATAGTATACTTGTATATATTATTGTTTGCCACATCTTATAAATTGCATGGACACCGGCATTGGTGTATTTGGATAGATCAAACATGTCCACGCCCATGTAAATATGTTGGAACATACGTATATCGATGTCGATTCAACCAAACATTTATAAATTGTAACTTGGATGGAGAGTTGTCTCATTGGCACTCATACCACATCTTCCTATATCTATGGATATCATACAGTAAATATTCGTGTTGTAAACATTATTAATGTGAGCACAGACATATATATAAAGAAAAGGAAATGTGGTATGAATGCCAATGAGCCAACTATCCACACGAGTTCAAATGACGAAGATAAAAGTAGATATAGGTCACTGTACGGCCTTCAACAATGAGAAAACCATATACCTTATAGTCAGCTCTAATAGACCCCAACATGAAAAAAATGAAACAATTAAAACGAGAAAACTAACGACCTAAGTAATGCAATACCAAGTGAAAAAAAAACAAATATGAAGGACATGAACCAACAACCACTGAATTACAGGCTCTTGACTTGAGACAGGCACATACAGAATGTGGCGAGGTTAAACATGTCTGTGAGCGCTCAAACCTCCCCTGAACTTTGAACAGTGGTGTTACATCACAAAATAAGAAAAAACTGAAAATCAGTTACAAATGACTTTACTCATCCTCAATAGGCCTCTCTAAGTAGATTATTTGTGGTATATTGTATTTTACTGAATTTATAACGTCTGTTCTTTTGTTTTCTTAACCCTATATTTAAAACTCAAGGTTTCTCCACTGTAATATATATCAATCATAAACTATTATTTACTGTAATAAATATTGTAGTATGAAATGATATCGAATAAATTGCTTCGCCGAGCGAAGCTGGATACGACCGCAGAGGTCCAACCCTGAACAGTTGGGGCAAAAATGAACACAATATTCGTGCTTGATACAGGTCTGAATTTGGATTGAAATTAAGTGTTTGACACATAATAGGTTTCTGACACAGAATAACTTAGAATTGGTTATATGATTTGAATTTATGTTAAATTTTTTGCTTTTATGCAATACACTATGCTGTTGCGAATCCCCCCTCCCCCCCAAAAAAAAATTAACCTTTCCCCCTTTTTTTTGGCAAAACATTTTTTTTTTCACCCCCACCCTTTTAAAAAAAAATAATATTTGAAGAAATTTTCTTTTTAATTTCTGAAATCTGTAATGAGAAAAAAAAAATGTCCCCCCACAATTTCTTATTAACCCCCCCCACCCCCAATTTTGTTTCATCTCCCCCCTCCCCTTTTTCCCAAAATATTTCCCTCAAGATATGGTCATTATCTCAATTCAAATTCCCTATGGAGTTTTCAACCATACTTACCCATTTAAATACATCATAAAAGTCTTAAAATAGAAAATGACATATATAATCATGTCTAAAAATAATATATCAATTATACAAAATTTCTTTATACATAATTTTAAAGCAGTGTAAGGGAGGTAATCCAAATTTAACATTGTACTTAAAAG